TTAAGTCAACACAACATTGTTTTAAAGGGTGGAACGCAGAAAGATAAACAAGAACATTGTAAAGGTTCGTTAAACTCAATCATACCACTTGGCACCTGAACCAAACCGTTTACACCCATTCCACAACCCCGCAGCGGCAGAAGCACTTTGTTTCCCTGAGTCTCGCCATGTGGCTAATTTACAAGATTTGCAATCAAGAAGAAGTCAGCAGTATTTATTGATTTCAAAACACAATAGGTTAAAAGTCCTTAATTCGTATATTCATTAATGACTAGTCAGCGTGGAATGAAAAAAATGTGTCAGTAGTCAAAATGTTGCTACTTTCTGAAGATTTCTTTATCATTTTCACATTCAGGTTTAACATGCTGGAAAATTAGCAATTGAAGCGAGTAGTAGTAATAGTAATTTCTGCAGGTAACCAGAAGTGGGTCATGCTGACTAACTTGAACACTGCAATTTACTTCCAGGTCCTTCAGAGTGGAGTTGCAATGGATTGGCATGATGCACTTCAGGTTACCAGCTGTTAAAACTCAGAATTATTGTTACCAACTGGTACATACTAGACTCCCATTAGATATACACAATATTACTGTACAGTATGTAGGAAACAGAAAGCAAATGCAGATCAATAGGTTCAGATGCACAAAGGCAGCAAGAGAAGAGGTCACAGATGAAGAGCAAGCTTAGGTCAGGAAGTATTTTATTTACATAAAGTAATCAACAGCTGGAATGTGTTACCATGAAGGGTGATAGAGGCCTGGGCACTGGATTCACTGAAGAAAAATCATGATGCTTAGCAAGATGGAAGAGCTGATGTTCTTGAAGAATGAGTCCGAATGGGTTGAACGTCTGAACCTGTCTTATGATCTGTTTTTGCCACAAAACATCCGCCCCCCTCCTACTCATATATAACAACTAATTTTAAAAAAATCTGTTCAGATAAGATACATACTGCATTGACAAGAGGGTTGGCTTTAAGGCCAGATCTGAATATGATGGAGCATATTCCAATTTTACCCTATAAACTATATGTTATGAGGATGAAGGGACTCAGGCTCAGCTGTTCAGCTGCACCCCAATCCTTGTTAACTGCTCCTTGTGAGGTCAATCGTAAGTGTAAAAGATTCACCTTTCAATTCCATAAATCTGCAAATTGGTACATAGGCTGGACAAGTAAAGTTTACACCCACGTAAAAAACATTTCGAGTGAACCACACATTCATGCCTGTGATGCTACAAATGATACTTTGGTTTTCTTGCCATTATGGGACATACATAGTCATCTGCAAAGTTTTAAATTGAGAATTCTATTCCATTCAATGCAACAAATCATGCAAAAAAATGATAGTTAACAGTTTATACTTGCATATCTGTAACCTCCCCACCACCCCACCCACCTAACATCCAATACAGTCAAACCTCTTTTCAGCAATCACAGAGGGGACTGAACCAAAGTGGCCTTTATGTAAGGATGGCCTCTGAGTAAGGGTTCACAGGTACGTTGACTGGGCCCGAAATTAAAAAAATTTTTGCAGTCCAAAAATTCCTGTTGGTCCACGTTTAGAGTCCCACCAGACTCCTAGAGCACTTACCAACCCCGCCTCACCAGTGAGACAGGAAAATTTGGGCAACACATGCGCTGCTTAGTACGGCATTGGTAAATGTGCTAGGAGTCTCGCAGGAGTCTATACACGAGCCCGCGGAAATTGGTAACGCATTACCAGTAAGTACACTTAAATTCAGTTAGAACTGGCCACTGAAAAGTATGTTTATCACTGACAGGGTTAAAAAACACAACCACTGATTGCGTTAGTCTGGTAGTTGCTGAATAGTTTTTTTTAAATGGAAAATCGGTCTGGAATGTTCCAGGGTGGTTGTTGATGGCAGATGGTTGCTGAATAGAGGTGGTTGCTTTAAAAGGTTTGACTGGAGTTACCCAAGCTAGCTTCTGTGCTCCTAGGACTGCTTTTTAATAAGATATTAAAATTTTCGCAGAGGTTAGCCCTGTCCATGTGGTCTAGCTCTCTGGAAGGAATAGGGAGTTCTCCTACATATCCAATAATGCTCTTCTAAATCCATGTGCTAGATACAGTGTCTTGGGATACCCAGAAACCAGAAATTCCAAGTCTTAGTCTATAACAGTGCCATGGAATTTTTGCCGTCCACCTGAATAGACAGGCTTGGCTTAATGTCTTATCTGAAGAATGGTTATAAACAAAAAGGTATAGAAAAAGGGCCATTTCGATTGAAAAAGTGCTGCGTGGAAAAGTTGTTGCTTTACGGGTGCCTTGCATCCAGATACAAGCGACATAAACTACAACTCCAGCAAGGAAACCCAGTTATTTTGACATTAACTCACAAGGCAATCTCGGATCAGAGCAGAGTACTAGCCAGCATGAGGCACCGTGATGGTATTGCTTTCCTGAGGGATGTTTTTTCAACCCCAATCCAGAGATGGAAAGAAAAGCTGCAAATGTAGCAAATTTAAAATAAAATGAGAAGATTCTGGAAATGCGGGTCAGCCAGACCCTGAAAGAGAAAGCTGGATAAATGTTTTTTAAAGTCTTAAAGTCTTATCCTTCTGAAGTCTTAATGACTATCCTCCTTGGAGGAGGGGGGGGGGGGGGAGGGGAGAGAAGGCTCCTTAGAGCTGAACTGGCTCCAAGGACTTTCAGAATCAAGCGTACCCTCTATGGTTTCGGTCATCCAGTTCCTGAGTCAGACGGATCCGCAGTATTCCAGGGCACTGCTGAGCCAGTCTGGCTCAATGGCAAAAAATGGAACAGTAGACCAGTCACTGGGGCAGGGATTCTTCTCACTCAGCTCCGATTAATCCTGCAAGGCAAAGGCCTAACGGGTATGGTAATCCAGGCTGGATAAATAGCGGAAAGCTTGCCAGATAGTGCTTTCAATGGCAAGCTATGTGGTTTTAGCTGGTTCGACTCCAGCAGTACCCCGATGTACACTCTGGGTCTAATACTTTATGGAATTAGATAAGCAAGCTGCATCCCTCCAGGGACAGAGAGCACATTCCCTTCCAATAAATATCTAGAGGATTTCCATGTATAGGTGGGATGTATGGAACTCGCAGTTTGGTTACATACTCTTAAGCATGGTGCTTGGTCTCTGCATGTGTCAGACATCCGGATCTCTATGTTTTTGGTCTGACCAAAGAAATAGAGTTTTGAATAAGGACTCGTGTGAAACATTAATTTATCTTTCTCTTTCAGATGCCGATGGACCTGTTGTATATCTCCAATGCTTTATCTCCCAAAAGCAAACTGAATGAATACTAAGAGTTATGCATTCACTTTCTTCATATATAAATAGCTATTGTCTTAAACTTTCATTCATTCAGACGCTTATGGTAACAAACTAAAGAAACAGAAGCTCTGGACCACTATGATAGGATTTTTCACCACCGATAACCAGTTTCGCTGAGGCATGTTTGTTATGTGGTTCAGTTACCGGTTGTGAAATAAATACGGTCACAAAAGTCCTGAGTGAGCACTCCAGCTATACCATCGTTTTAACTCATTATGTCCAAAAAGTATACATGTTTTATAAACGAAGTTTATTTTTCTCTCTCTCTCGTTCTCTATTTTATTTTCCCCCTCCGTGTTTTTCGGGGATTTACCTGTTCCGCAGCAGTGGAGGACTACATCTAGGATGTCATGTGGAGTCGTGGTGCTGCACTGTGGGATGAGGACGCTGAGATTTCAGGGTGAGCCGCCATGGGGAGGAGGAGTCCTGGAGGAGGTGGATGAAGCCCTGCTGGAGCTGTTGCCAGTGCAGAGAAGGGAGGATATCGTGGGGCCCGATTACATCGTTGGAGCCGCTTTTAAAAAAAATTATTTTAGTTTTTCTTTCAGTTTTAATGTTTGCTTAAGCGTTTTTTGTTTTAAAAAGTAGGTTGTATTGCTGGTCGAAACAATATTTTGTTTTTTTTTCAAGTTTGGGGCTTTTATTATTTCAAGGCTTGGTGTCCATGAGGTGTTGCTGGCTTAATGAAGAAGCTTTAAGGGGGTAATGGATTTAACGATGATTTCTGTACGCAGAGGTTTGTGGGAGGGGGAAAAGTCCGTCATTTTTGTTTGTTTACAACTTCATTTTGTTCCACTTTGATAACTACAGTGGTCTGTGGAGCACAAGGTCTCTCTGGAGGCTGACAATTTGGTCTTGATTTGCACCTGTACGAGATCCTTTAGGATAGAGTGTTATTTAGATATGAGCAGACCCATGAAGGAAAGAAACAGCAACATTATTTACACTTGGGATATCACAATATTCTACAGATCTGAACCACAGTATGAGAGCATTTTACGTATCATGTACATTTTCCACAATTGCTCATTTTCAGAGGGGAAACAAGCAGATCATCTATAATGTTACCTGGTTACTACAGGAACCCATTTTCAAATCCTAGACATAGATAATACTGCAAATTAACCTCACATAAAACAGGTGCTAATGGGAACCATGAAATGCAAGATAGATGCCAGAAGAGAAAGGTTGATTTAGAACAAGTGCACTGGGTGAAAATTTGCAGCCTGACATTCCTTCTTATCTTAGCCTATAAGACTATTTTGCCTTTAAATTTCAGATTGTGCAGAATTGTGGAAAATTCTTAAATCCATCTTTATTTGGAAATCACTTTGCTGCAGTTATTCAAAAGAAAATACTTTCAAATTAAGGCTGAGTCTAAAAATTCTCCTTGATTGTTTGCAGCCCTAACTTAAGACAAACTGGTCTTGCAGACTAAGTCAAGGTGAAGTTTCAGACCTCAGATGCACTGTGGTGAGAGTGGGCAATTTTGCAGAATTTAAAGAACCTAAAAGAGTTTGGTTCTGGATGCAAAAAGACTTGATATTAATATTCAAGAATTAAATATAAACCTTCTCAACATTTTATGACCAAAAAGAAGGGATTATTTTACTTTACAACAGGGTAACTGTTGGATATAGTACTGTCCAGACACAGAAATGAAAGGGGATGCTTACAGGTACCTGACTGGAGAGACTGAAGTTGCCTGCAGGGCTTTTCTTCTTGTTGTTAGTGCTGTTGGTGTTTCCTGCATTGCTGTTTGAGATGCTGTTTGCTGAGTTCTTCCTCTTTCTCCGTTTGTTGGTCTGTTGTCTGGTAGGTTCTGCTGTAGAAAACAAATCAAAAACAAAAGCAAAGAACCACAGTCAGAGTTTCTGCATTGAGCTAACGCTCCAATGTTTGATATTGGTCACGTACTGTCTTTACCTAACCAGCCGGAGAGAAGGGTTATACAAGGTGCTGCTGTGTCAAGCAACACTTGTCAAAGGCACAGCTGAGGAATCCCTACTGGTTAAACGCATGACCCAAATTTATCTCCTATGTGTCATTCCAAAGTTTACATTTAATTTTACTAAATGCCACTCAGTTCATAAAGGCTCCTATCATCTCTGAACATTGAAAAGGTCCAGGTAAGCAAAACAATGTGCTTGCCTTATAGTATTAATAAAAGGCCAAGCAAAATATTGTATTTTTAAAAATTAAATTTTAGAAGGTCACAAGTTCACGTCCCAAAGCTGCCAGATACTCAGTTAAATACCCTTGTTTTGTCAGATGAGTTTTGCTAGCCCTCAGCCTGCCAGTGAAAATGACCTCCTCTCAGGACGTTACAAGTTCCAGGTCTATAGAAAGAAAAGACTGGCATCACCTGCTATGCTTCGTGCTGGAAAATCACAATCCAGCACAGGAAGTAGTCATAGAAACGCTTGGGTGTTGATATCTCAACACCTACAGCTAATACTACATTCTATTATATAATACTTATTATTATTAATAATAAATAATGTAAATATTAATCCTTTCATTTGATACAGCGCTTTTAATGTCTTCTCGACGTCTCAAAGCGGTTCACAGAATATACTGTAAAGTGAATTGACTGCATATTTTTGGGCGAAACGCGGCAGCCAATTGCGCACAGCAGTGTCCCACAAACAGTCGTGGATTGAAGTGACCAATTTATTATTGTTTTTTTTTCTTGAGGGATTATTATCAGGTGTGTGGAGTAAGGAAACTCGCCCAAGGTTTTACCTACCAGAAATCAAACCCATGTTTCTCGCGTGCTCTAACCACTGAGCTACAGGACTCCATACTAATAATATCCATCCTTCCAACCAGAGGAGAATATGTTGCAGTAACTAGCCTATGATTAAAGATAAGTGGAAGATGGCAATAAAACTATAGCAATGATAATAAGACTTTCACAGCGTGAGTCCAAAAGAATTTTATAGGTTCAATTTACTCCTAGAAATTGCTGAAAAAACTTTATTTTCTGTCTAGATCCTAGCTTTCTCCTTTTGCCTCAATATAGTAAATGACCAGGAAAACATTACTGTTCTTACTTTCAGGCATTCCATATTATATGTATGATATATATGTTATATCATTTTTCGACATACTCTTGATATGAGAAATCTTGAATTCCTTCAAGAAGACCCGAGATTGCAAGTTGGCAAGAGTAACACTGGAGAGTTACTTTATCGCCATTGTGTAGTCCTGTAGCTCAGTGGTTAGAGCACTCGCTTTGCAAGCGAGAGATCTGAGTTCAATTCCAGGCAGAGGGCGAAACCTTGGGCAAGTTTCCTTACTCCACACGCCTAATAATAATCCCTCCGAAACCAAAAACAATAATAAATTGGTCATTTTCAATCTACGACTGTTTGTGGGACATTGCTGTGCGCAATTGGCTGCCGCGTTCGCCCACAAATATACAGTTAATTCACTTTACTGTGTGTTCTGTGAAGCGCTTTGGGACGTCCTCCCGACGTGAAAAGCGCTATATCAAATGCAAGGATTATTATCAATGATCCAATGGGTGCTTTGACTCAAGTAATCAAATTGAAAATAACAATAATAATAATACTTGCATTTGATTTAGAGCTTTTCACGTCGAGAGGACGTCCCAAAGCACTTCACAGAATATACTGTAAAGTGAATTGACTGTATATTTGTGGGCGAACGCGGCAGCCAATTGCGCACAGCAACGTCCCACAAACAGTCGTAGATTGAAAATGACCAATTTATTATTGTTTTGGGTTTTTGGAGAGATTATTATTAGGTGTGTGGAGTAAGGAAACTTGCCCAAGGTTTCGCCCTCTGCCTGGAATTCAACTCAGGTCACTCACTTGCAAAGCGAGTGCTCTAACCACTGAGCTACAGAACTCCAACATGATTTTCTACTGGGGCCAACTGCATGTCGCAGATAGAATCACAGCTGGAGGTAGCTACAAGGTTGTAATCCAATCGTGGGGTAAGGATGCCGTCATGTGGATTGTGAAAATCATCTGAACCCCAAGAGTGGAAGCCTTGGAGTTTCCTCCCCATATGAATTATTTTAATTAGTTTTACACTTCGAATGACTTAAAAGTAATTCAATTTTGTTTTCTTACCGTTGTGGGCTGGGCGCGCCAAGCGAGGTTGTGGGGTTGAGGCGGTGTGACGTAGGAGAAAGGGTATTACAGCTGATTGTGAGGTTCGACCTGAAGGATTACAGCATCACGTGATAAGGTATTTTACTTTTACATGCTTGTTATTTGCAGAGGTTTTACCGGTTCATAAACTGTAGTAAGTATTGTACATATTGTTTTGTAAAACATTTTGTGAGGGTGTGAATTCCCTCCATTTCTCCACAGTCCCACTGATCTCCCCGACCACGCAACTCCCTCGGCCAATATAGTGGGCAGACAGCCTGATGACAGGCCTTCGCTTTTGCCCCTCCCAGCCAGCTGCCAGGAGGTGCACACAAATGGCTCTGGCGAGGCCATTCCTTTCGATTGTCTCTCCCTCCTGTGGTGAGGCATTTGCCCTCCCCTCGATGCTTCCCCACTCAGTTGAAACCGGCAACTTCATAGCATGAAGTGGGGTGGGGAATTGAAGCAAAGTCCCACCATTTGCAGCGGCCCAGTGAGCTGGGACTCCATCACAATGCACCATTACGTCACTCTAGGATTCAACAGTTTGTAATTGACTGCACACTCCATCCTCACAAATGGATGGTGATGGGACCTAATAGGAATAGGACCACAACAATAGTTCCCTCTCCTATCAAGTCAGATTTGCTCCACTTATGCAACTGGTGTTGAGTGAAATGGTGTAACAATGAAAGCAACAACTCGCTGTGAGCATCAGCACCCACACTACATTAGAAGTAGGAGGGAATACAAACTGATTATAGAAGTACTGAATTGATGTTTTTACTCCATTTAGTTTTGTCAAAGGTTTAAGTGTAGTCATTGTAATTAAATGTTTTAGTTGGTCAATCCCGATTGAAAGTCTCTGCTTCTTTTGTGTGAGAAAGATTCTTAGTGCTGCTGTTGTAAAAGCTACTTCAAGAAACATATTAAAGATACTGGGATTGAAAAAGAGCTCTTCAGGAAAAAGGTAGTTTTACAGGCCATTGATATCAGAAGAAGTGCTTTGTGACTTAAATTGTATTTCCAGCAGTTCTGGATGGAGACAAATTTAGAAGAATGGAAAAAGAACTCTGGAAAAATGACATTCATTTGGCACTGCAAAAAGATTCTGCTTCCAAATTTCTAAAATTAAGCATCTCACATTTGAAGGCAATTGTCTTAAGCGTAAGAACATGAGACATTTCTGGACCAGTTAAGGTGCTTCTTGCTTTAGGGGTGTGCCAATTTTGAATTGATTGAGGTATTTGGCACCGACAATGATTCAAGCTACAGCATTGGAACCAACATTCAGTTTAAGATCTACAAATACATAAAATAGCTAATTGCAAATTAAATCATGTAGTTGGACAGTGTCTCCAGGGTAGTTTCCAAATACTTTGTTGATTTTTTTTACATAGAGGTTTGTTAGAATGTGTAATACCTTACTACAAATGCTTGTTGAAACTGAATCCGTAACAGGATTTAAAACGGAAATGGATAAATACCTGAGGAAAAATAATGTTCAAGGGGAAAGAGTAAGGGAATGTAATTTGAGTAGGTAGCTCCAATGGAGGAAGCTGTCACCAGGACATACACGATGGGCTGAATGTCCAAATGTTAATATGCTGTATGTTAAAATTTAAAATCCTTAATGCCCCAAGCATTTTCTGAACTTCACCTCACTGTGAATTTACAATTACTATAAAAGAATATTCCCAGATATAATCTGCTAGCTAATTATCAGTATAACCCACCCCTTCAATGTATACTGAAAATATCTAGTTGCATCAAAATATATTAAAGAATATAAATCATATCTTAAAGCAATGATAGTTGCACAGATATCCAGACAAAGTATTAGTTAATTTTACTGTACTTGTCCAGCTAGGCCTCTCCTACCTGACAAGAGTTTTGGTTCACAGGGTAGAAAATATTTACAGACCGCCGTGTCTCACTTCGAGTCAGATACTGGATAACCATTAACAGTGCCTTGAACTACTGTGGACTTGGAGAAAGCTGAACATTGCTCACTTTTTTTCCCTCCCAAGCAGATTTAAGATGTGACATATTCATTTTGTTAACCTCAAAAGAATTGAACCTAAGTCCAGCACTCAATCACTGAGCTACCTAGATGTTTTATGAAGATCTCTCAGTCTGTTGTGGTTGGCCTCCTGATCAAGGCTGCCATCTTCATTGCTTCTCTAAGTTTGGGACTGATTAATGAGGTTTATATATGGCCAGGACTCTTCTCTAAGTTTAAAAAATGTCATGTTTTAGCACCAAATCTCAGAAACAATGACAGTGATACATTCAGAGACCTATCTGGTGCATTGTAAGGTTGTTTTTAACAAAACTATTTAGTACTGGTTGAATGGTATTTTTCACATAAATAGTGAAGGATCACTGGTTTGGTTCCTCTCTTTGAGTCTGACCTGAAATGATACGAGTGAAGATACTTTGGCAGGGAAAGTTAGATCCCAATACATCACAGCAAATGTTTTTCACTCAGAGAGTTGTGGATTGGAAAGCCCTGCCAAGAAAGGCAGTAGAAGCAGAGTCCATTGTGGATTTCAAGAGGGATGTCGAGAGATATATAAAGGATAGAGGCTTGAAGGGGCAGGCGGATAGGACAGGGCAGTGAGATTGAATGAACAACTTGCTCTGAAAGCCGATGCAGACTCAATGAACTGAATATCCTGCTTCAGTGCTGTACATGTACAAACCGAGATCTTCTCTCAGTGCAGTAACCTGGAATGGCTATACTCGGGTCTCACGGCAGTTGCTGACGCTACTTTTGCTCTGTTTTTATCTTACAAAACTACTGCTGACGGCAGCCCTGACTTCAGCACTGGTATTATCAGGAAAGGGAAGCAGTGAAGCCTCCAGGGGTGCTCAGACCCACTTACATTTCATTTACATAGCATGTGTCTGGTAGTAACCCTTCCCTCAGGGGTAGCACTGTATTGTAAATGAAGTCAGCGCTGTTGTCTCTGGAGGTAGTTATTACTGCCTCCTAAGGTACACTTATGTCCCATCACAGGAAGAAACAGCACCCAGCACATAAGTCAAATGGTGCACTGGTCACCAAGCTTTTTGGCTTGGGTCGGGCTGAGTTATTTACCTCACCGACAGGCTGGCATTACAGTGGCAACATTCCTGACCTGTATAGCCCTTCCCTGGAGATCAAGGCACCTTCTGGATGCAGCAATGTCTTTATTGCAATATAGTTTCTACTGGTAGAAGCGGAGGCTGAGTTCGATTCTGGCCACTGGTCAGCTCAGGCCACCTGCATCTGCTATTGATGCAGATCTACAATTCAAGGCCTGTGGGGATTGCTCGTGGCCTATAAATAAAGTCAGCTTTCAAGTGATTGCACATGAACACATGTGACATCCTCCTCTGGCTTAGTTCCACAGCATCGGCAGCCCGGGGCAGCATTACACAAGCACATCACAAATGTGTTGTAATATAAATCCTGTACCAAACATAATTTTGTGTTGTGTGTTACAAATCTGATTACAATGTGCACTGATGGGAAGCATCGTTTTATCGGTTAATAACGTGTATAATTGTAGCCTCTCCCAGGGTGACCTTATCAGTGGTCATTAGAGCATGTTCGGCAGTTCAAGTGATACTTACTGACATTGCTGATCGTAACTTGCAAAAATAGACTAAGTCGAAATACCTATGAAATGTTTTCCCAGAAGGACAGTTGGGTTCTATGGATCAGATTCTAAAATGAGAATATTGTGTAACCTATACAAGTTTAACAATAGAACACCGCTCGAGTTGCCTATCACTTTCCCCATCAATAATGTTAGTTAAACAAAGGGACAATGTCTACCTACCTGGGGGGGCCACCATTCGCTGCCATTTCTGGAATAAACATGTTTTCAGACAGTCTCTTGGGCTGAGGTTGTACGTTTTGTGTCTGGACATCAGCTCTTGCATTGGCTCCAGTATTACACACAACTGCAAAATGGGTAGAAATGACATCGTTATTATACATCATTAATTGCTGACCTAAGAAAAAATAAAAGCTGCCACTTATTTAAACAGATTAGAGTGACTTTAAATAAAATATCTCAGTGAATGGTGTAAGTATTTTGTAAGTGAATGATCATTCTATCCAGATGAATATTGGCCAGGACATTGGGAGAAACTTTGTTTGCATTTTGAATAGTGCTATGGAATGTTTAACATCTGTTTGAACTTGCAGACGCAACACGGTTTAACGACCCATCCAAAGAATGGCACCTCCAACAATCCAGGAAACCCCCAGCACTGCAATGGCAGTGTCAGCCTTGACTATGAGCTCAGAGGTACAGGCGCAGACTCTGGACTGTTCAGTGCCTTGGGATGTCCTTCCGACGTGAGAGGCACTATATAAATGTAAATTTTTATTGTATTTTTGCATAACAGAATAAAATAATAAAGTTAATCCTTGTATTTGATATGGAGCCTTATCACACCATCAAAACATTTTAAACCCTTCACAGGATTGACGAATGCACTGATTGTGTATTTTGTAAGTGAATGATCATTTTATCCAGAGGAATATTGGCCGGGACATTGGGAGAAACTTCCTTCGCATTTTGAATAGTGCCATGGAATCTTTAACATCTGTTTGAACTTGCAGACGCAACACGGTTTAACGACCCATCCAAAGAATGGCACCTCCAACAATCCAGGAACCTCCCAGCACTGCAATGGCAGTGTCAGCCTTGAGTATGAGCTCAAAGTCCTGACATGGGGACACCCTTCTGACTCAGAGGCAAGAATGGTACCAACTGACATCTGAATGTTATTTTGCTTTCCCATCGTTAGAAACAAAGAAGGAACTTGGGAAGAATATTTTTATGGAGCCTTATCACATGGAAATGTCTCAAAGAATTTCACAGGCTGGCAGCAAATTTCTGAACCTTCATCATTGCTCTTCCTAAACCAGCCACTAGGAGGCATGTCAGACCGCCCCGAGATGGCTCTCTTTACTTCCCCCTTTCCTACTCTTGGTGAGGTACCAGGCCTCTCTTTAACTGAATCGTTGAGGAACTGAACCTGGGTCTCACGACTTTTGCATCACTCAGTGGTGCCTCAGCTCACTGTGCTAATTAATATTTAAATCTTAAGTATCCTATTGCCAATCTTTAATGGATTCACACTGTACTCCTTCTTAAAAGAACTCTGAATGCATAATCAATACTGTAACCAGAAAGCTACAGTTGCTCACAGCCAGTCCACGGCCTTGGCAGCCATCTCTGCATTTTTCACACCATGAAAATACACAACCACAACTGAATCCCACTAATCACATCTGTTCTGAGATGAGTAAAAAGCAAACCAGTACCGTGTTAACATGAATAAAATAACGACAAAGCTAAAAGCTGTGTCTCATTATCACTTTCTTGTAAACAAGCTTACTTGGAATCCCAACTACAGCTATTGGCTGAAAGCCCAGGTAGCTCTCTGAATAACACATTAACATTAAACGCTGCAGCATTTCACTTTCTACTTATTAACATTGAAGGGTCCTTATAATGTGCTCCAAAAATGAAAAGCCCTTTTCAAATCTGCTCCAAACATAGCTCAGGGAAAACATAGTGTAGGAAACATAGCTCAGGGAGAACAAGAAAAAATAGTTCCTTATTCATCCCAATGCCAGAAACAAAACATGCATTGTGTATTGAGCTGCCAAATGTTACATGAAATGACACTGAAGTATTACAAGCACATGGGCTGCATTTGGGGTAAATTTTGGTTGATCATTCTGTGCTAACAACTGTATGCTCCCTCCATGTAGATTTCTCCAGTCAAAGTAAGTCAGCACTTCCTTTACTTGGTAAACATGCAAGATAAAAATGTAGTTCTGATAATTCTGTGCGAATAACAATAAAAATCCTTGCATTTATTCTGCCATCAAAATGTCTCAAAGGTATTCACAGCATTTACTGTAAATTGTTGCTACAGTCCATTCTGTACACAAGTCCAGCAGTCAATTTGCACACAGCAGTATCTCACAAACAGCCCCCAATTTTATCTGAGGGAATATTGTCCAGGACACCGGGAAAAATTTCCTTCTCTTTTCGAATAGTACCATGGGATCTTTAATGTCCACTTGAACAAGGCAGATTGGATGGTTAACACCTCATTCGAAGAACCGCACTTCTGATAATTCAGCACTCGCCCTGCACTGAATTGGAGTGTCAGCCTAGACTAGCATGGTCCAACAGGCCACAACCAGCCCAGCGGATGATCACTGTTTTATCTCCTGGCTGCACCTCTCTTCTGGTTGGTCTTCATGAGGCAGTGTGGAGAGTGACAGGAAGAAGAGCTGAGCAGGAGGTATCTATCCCCGCCCCTCCCTGTCACGTTTTGCATTGTCTCAAGCAACCTGGTGAGGCACAGCGAGTACTTTGCAATTCTAAACGTACAGAATGATGAGTCTCAGCAGGAAACGTGAGGTAGATATGGAAAATAGATGATTTCAGTGTAAGTGGCAAGTGTTTATTGAAACTTGTTTATTGAAAGTAATGGAAAGCCTTGTTTGCTTGCAAGTCATAGCTGTGTTGAAGGAATTCAGAGATAGTTCTCAATTATCGATTGATCTGTTTGGGATTTGATGAGCATTCTCTGTAGGGGCCCTCATATGCTGAGTTGATATCTTGTATTACATTAAAAACATTGATTTCCATCTGAGATGATTATTATTAAGTAATACAGTCACACAATTTAAAATACAGGATTTCTGTATGATTCTTTTATGTTTCTGGAAGGGAAAAAGTAAAATATTTCTTATGTGGCCAGCAGACTTTTCTCAAGTGTGGTATCTGGCCCTCAGCGTCCAAAAGGTTGGACCACCCCCGTGTAGACTATGAGCTCAAAGTCCCCATGTGGAGGGTTGACGCACAACTGCTGACTGAAGAGGTGAGATTGCTATCAACTTAGCCAGGCTGACACCAGGCTGTACTCCAAACATTTCTGTAGCGACTCTCTGTTAAACAGTTGGAAGTCAGCGAATAAATCGCAGTGATGTCAGTTTAAAACAGAACTGCAACATTTGGTTACCAATTGGTGCAAAAGGTTGAGCGCCACTTGTGACCAGAAGGTGGCATGAGATACTTTGCTACCTAACGCTAGTCACAAGTGTTCTGATAACTTTTTAATTTCTGTCACTGCTCCACAACAGCTCAATAAAATTATTCCACGAGTAACTAAGTCATACGGGACTGGAAAGGTCCCGTGTTTAACTCCCATTGCGTATTGTGTTACCTGATCTCAGATGGGAAGCTTTAGGGCATTATAGTTAGCTTGAGTGCTGCAGATTAGAGAGGAGGAAAAGCAGCTAAGGTTCCAGCTCCTGATCTCTATCCAATGATCCTGCTAGAGTTGCCTATGGTGGGACATTGGGTAAGGTTTAGGTCAGGCTTGGCTGTGATACCCCTGCAATTAAATAATCTGCCCAAGCCTCAAGCATGAATAATGGGCACTTCGGCATGGTATTGTAGCACTGGACCCTATACATTTGATTTCCAGAGGAAAGAAAAGGAAGTTGAAATGCATTGAATTACAGAATGGGGCGGGGAGAATATTGGAACGATTGATCTTAGCTTTTTGTTTCCTACTATTTAGTCAATTTATATCCAATTTACAACATTCCATTTACCCCAAGGTATTATTATATGTAATAGTGTAAATAAAGAAGTCCATATGCCAAAAATCTGCATCAAAAATAGGAAACACTGGAAATCCACAGTGGACCACCAAAGCCAGTCCAGTCCCAAATGTGACGTGTCTTTTCTCTTTTAAATGTTGATTGTCCAGCTGTGGATTTTTGAAGTATCTTGTGAAGCACCTTATCTGATGGTTTCTGAAAGGTACACAGCACCCACCATTTTACCAGCACTGACATCCTCAAATAATTCCATTGCATTTGGTTGGCATGATCTCCCAGTCATAAACTCAGCATAGGTTGAAATTAATGAGTGAATATTCTTGGCTTGTTTATTTAAAAAAAATAGATTTCAATATTTTTCCTATTGTGGATGTCATGCTTACAGGCCTATCATTTTGATGACTTTTTAAAATTGGATAATCTTATTATGTACAAACCATAATTTCAGATTCAGTTCCCCTCATGTTTCTCTAATTTCCATTCCTATTCTTGGATACATTCCATCTGTTCCTTTTGCCTTATGAATATTCCAGTTCTGAATATTCCAGTTATATGATTCAAAACAATGTAGCTGCATATTGTCTTCCTTTCCCAACACAAGAAAAATATGTTTATAGCAGTTTATGCAATAACAAAGAACACCTTAATCTACGGTGTACCTACTGATAGTAATAAAGTTACAATATTCAAAAATATCCTGAGAGGTATTTTAAAACAGAAAAGGTGGTGAATTAAAAGAGGACAGTAGGGGCGGGGCAGGGGGACATCATCTCAATGTGTTAATCTAACCTGTCTCACCTTGGTGTTAAATTGGAAAATATACTAAGAAACAATAGAAAGCCAGGCACCAAGTCTCTGAAGGTCACCAAATTGATGTCTTATACTGGGCATGTATAGACTTGTTTATGTACTTGGTGATTTGAGTCTTTAGTGAGAGAACTCCATCATAATTCCCACTGTAAAGTTACCTGCCTTGTAAAGTTACTGACCTTTGGAAGACCAACTCTAAGTGCCTTTGTAATAATAATAATGATGATCCTTTGTATTCCACATTTAATATAGCGCTTCTTACATTAAAATGACATCTCAAAGTGCCTCACAGGATATACTACAACGTGTAGTGATTGTGTATTTTGTTGGCACAGCAATAATGCAATAACTTATGCAATAATGAAGAACAGCTTAACCTTCAGTGTGCTTGTTGACAGTAAGACAGCTACAGTATTAGGATACAATACTGCTTTGACACAATATATGTAAAATATTGTTAGTGAGTGTTTGTTTTGTGTCATATACATTG